GCCACGCCCGCGCCGGCACCTTCCGGCGGGTGGCTGGTGGCTGGTGGCGCGCCGAGTCCCACCCGGAGCCCGGCCCGGGGACGCCCATTCACCCCCTCCTTGATTCCCTCGGGAAGTTTTCGGGGAACAGCTCCATGGCCCGCGCTTCTGGCCCCACGGAAGCGGCCCGAGGGCGGGCACCGCACCGGGCTCCCGCAGAAACAGGAGGAAACACACAGGAAACGAGAAGAGGAGAACGATCTGCCCAAGATAACCTCTGCCGGACCTGACTGAGACGACGCGCAGTGTCCTCGGGACGGGAAAGCCCCCCGGGGAGGCTGCAACGACGCACAGCAAGCAAATGAATTAAAAAACGACATACCACCTGAAAAATAGAAAGGCACACCCGCCGCCACAGTGGCACAGGCCAGGCGGTGCAGAGACCGCGGGAGAGAGAGAGGGTCAGAGACAGTAAGAGACAGAGGGACCAAGGAGAGACAGAGGCACACAGAGATCAGAGACAGTGAGATACACAGCAAAGATATGTAGAAGGCAGAGATGGAGAGACCAAGAGAGGACAGAGACACACAGAAGACAGAGACAGTGAGCAAAAGAACAGAAAGATACAGGAGGCAGAGACAGAGAGACCAAGTTGGGACAGAGATGCATACGGTGGGTCAGAGACAGTGAGACATAGGGAGAGACAGAGAAAGATGGAGAGAAAGATAGCAAAAGACTCAGGCAACCAGGAGAGACAGAGTCCCACAAAGTCAGAGACAGTGAGAGACATAACAGAGACATACAGAAGGCAGAGACAAAGACCCTGATGGAAGAGAGATGCAGAGCGTGGGTCAGAGACAGTGAGAGATAGGGAGAGACGCAGAGAAACCAAGAGGCAGGGACAGAGACAGCAAGAGCCTCAGGGAACCAAGAGGAACAGAGTCTCACAGAGGTCAGAGACAGTGAGAGACATAACAGATATCTAGAGGGCAGAGAGAGACACTAAGAGAGGATAGAGACACAGAGAAGGTCAGAGATAGGGAGACAGACAGGGATGGAGAGAGACCCACAGAGGCAAAGGATGACGGCCACTCTTGGTGGGGCAGGGAAGTCCGATCATAGCCCTGGTGGGTCCCAAGTCCCAGCTCCCAGCAGTGGCAGCTATGGGCCCTCAGTGGGGCCCACCCTCCCTGCACCATTTGTAAATATCCCATCCCCCGGATGGAGCGAGACCTTCCTCAGGAGCTGGCAGGGAGGACAGCGGTGGAGCCTGGCAAGGAGACGAAGGTCCCTGTGACCCTCTCCTACACACAGAGGTACCATGTGAAGATCTGGGTGGGATCTTTCTAGAAATTTCCCCTCGCATTTCTGATATGTGCCAGAGAAATTTTGGTTGGGTAAGTTCAAAAAAAAAAAAAAAATCATTTAGGGACCAGCAGGTGGCACGGCGGTTAAAGGTGCTGGACTCCCGCATGGCTGACAGCGGTTTGCGTCCCAGATCTGGCAGCTTGCTCTCTCACTTTCCCTCTCTGCTTCTCTCTGGTGCACATCTGTACATGCCCATAGCAAATTAAAAAACAAATAATGAATAAAATTAAATAAATCATTATTTTACAAAACATGAATTTGATTTATTATTATTTCAAAATTTGCTATAGGGTACATGTGCTCACCAGAGACAGACAGACAGAAAGAAAGGAGAGAGACAAAGTGAGAAGGCAAGACGCCAGGTCAAGGGCTTGAACTGTGGTCAACCATGTGGAAGTCCAGCATCTTGACCACCATATCACCTGCTGGCACAAAATAATTCTTTTTAAAAATCATTTTTTAAAAAATTATATTTATTTATTTATCTTTTAAATTTGACCAGAGAGAGAGGGAAAGTGAGAAAGCAAGCTGCCAGGTCCAGGACTCAAACCGTGGTCTGCCATGTGGAAGTGTCCAGTGCCTTAACCACCACGCCACCTGCTGATCCCTAAAAATCACCATTTTGGGGGACCAGCAGTTAGTGTAATGGCTATGTTGCTGCACTCCCATGTAGTCGACCACGGTTTGAGTCCCAGACCTGGTGGCTTAAACTCATGCCAGGTATGTGCGTGTGCATGCCCAATATCCCGAGAGGAGAATGGAGGAGAAGGGATTGCGGCGTGACCCCCTGCCCTGGGGGGTGATTTCTTGCTTTCTGTCTGTCTCTCTCTGTCTTTCTGGCGAGCACATGCACGCTATAGCAAAACAAAACAAAACAAAACAAAACAAAACTCTCCAATAAATAAATAAATAATTCCTTAAAAAAAAAAAATCACCATTTTGGGATCAGCAGATAGCATAAAGGGTATGTCGCTGGACTCCCACATAGTCACCAGTGGTTCGAGTCCTGGACCCAGCAGCTTGAAACTCATGTCAGGCGCATGTGTGTACTTGCCCATGATCCCGAGAGGAAAATGGAGGAGAAGGGATTGTGGCATGGCCATCCCCCCGGGTGGTGCTTTCTCACTTTCTGTTTCTCTGTCTCTGTGTCTCTGGTGAGCACACACATCCTATAACAAAAATCTCTCTCTAAAAAAAAATAAAGATCACCAGTTAGAGCTGTGTTGACTGGCTGTTGTGTAGGTGAGAGATGTCAGACTCACTGAACAGATGCACTTAACAGAGAGGGGCCCAGAGACGTAGGGTGTCTAGCCCAGGGCATGCAGCATTGCCCACCTTCCCTCCGAGGGTGGATGGAAAGCTAACATCCATCCTGGGGCCTCTGTCCCCAGAGTTCAGCCGCGCAGGGCCCACCTCTGGGCTGCAGGCCATGGGGGCTGCCAGCCTCACTCCCATGGTGACTGTGGTGCATGATACATCCTGCCTTGTGTCCTGCTAGGGCCACTCAGAGGTCAGCCCCCACCTTCCCATCTGAGCAAAGGGCTCCCTCTCAGGGAGGGTGAGAGGAGGGGAGGGCCCGGCCCACCTGGGGCTGAGGGGCTTCCCGTATGGGGTGGGGTGGAGCAGAGCTGAGCCAGCTACCTGGTCCTTTGGCCAGAGTACCTCTGCCTTGGTTATGCCTTCAGTGACCGTTTGTTCCTGGCTCCCACAGGAGCCTCCCCTGAACCCAGCTGCTAGGCCCCCACGGAGCTGCAGAGCCAGAGGAAAGGGCCCCTGTGCTGCCGGGAGCCTCCAGGGCTGGAAAGGGAGGGTCCAGGGGGAATGGGGTCCAGGCCCTTGGCGGTCCTGAGGGAACTGGGGGACAGGACAACCCAGTGAGAGCTTAGTGGGGACTGTTGAAGGCAGGGGGCCTGGAGGTGTGCCTCGGTGGGCAACAGCGAGGGTCTGGCCAGACGAGAAGGCCCAGAGGCCTGGAAAGGCCGACTCAGGGCCTTTGCACTTGCTGTTTCCAGTTCCTCCCGCGCTGTTCTCCAGTAGCCCCGGGTGCTTCGAGTCGTCATCCCATAGGACAGGGCTTGGTTTTCTTGGTTGTCGTTTTTTATCTTTTTTTTTTTTTTGAGAAGTTTTCGCTCGCTATAGGGCGCGTGCGCTCGCCAGACAGACAGAGACAGACAGAGATACAGAAGGTGAGAAATCAACCCCCAGGGGAGATGGCCATGCCACAATCCCTTCTCCTCTATTCTCCTCTCGGGATCTTGGGCACATATGCACATGTGCCCAGT